AATTCATGAAATTTTATTTAACACATTTCTAAAACTTTATTTATTCACAGTGACTGCATGACAACATGCGAACAATGTGTATAATTCTCAAATGATTCCTATTCAGAACAACCTTCAATCACATTGGCACATTATGGGCAAATAAAGAAATCCATTGTACATCCCTGCCCATGACATATAGTGGTGGGTGGGTGTGGTTAATACTGCGCCAATATAAACACCAATCACAGCATCAATTAAATTCCAATTCAATAATTGGTTGGTCTCCAGAACAGAGATTCAACACTTTGCCAAAAAGCAAGATCAGTGGAGAATCTCTGCTATTATCCGGCCTAGCAAGTCCAAATCAAACATACTTTACAAGGAGAAGAACTTTAACTAGCTATTGAATTTCAATGCAATTGTCATTATTTGATCTAATGGGCTTGTCTTGGTTCAGGCAACAGCAGAAGACTATTAGGCGCTGTGGCTTAGTTGGTTAAAGCGCCTGTCTAGTAAACAGGAGATCCTGAGTTTGAATCTCAGCAGAGCCTTTTATCATAGCGTCCCTTTTTTTATCAGGCACTCTCCTCCAGAGGGCCTTATAACGCTAATGTCCTGTAAATACACCGATGAGCCAAAACATTATGACCAGTGGATCAAATAACATTGGTCATCTAACAAGGACACATGTCAAGGTCATCACAGGTTAGATTTTAAGCATTCAATCAGTTCCCGTGGTAAACGTGTTGGATGCAGGAGTAAAGATCTGAGCTTCTCTAAACGGTGGTTTTAATGTTTTTTGTCTCGTTTGTGTGTGTATATATATATACCTGGTAAGAGGAGTGGTCAGAGTAACAGAAGAAAGACAGAAAGAAGATTTAAGAAGATCTACTGGACCATTTAAGATTTTCATATGGCATGTTTTCTATCAGTAATGAAAGATAATACCTAAAGTTTGATGGTAAGTTTTGTTTGGTACCGATTGTACTGTAAGAATGTTCATATAAAAAGCACCCTTTTGCCGTGACATTGTGTTTCGCAATGCCATGACCCGGATTCGAACCGGGGTTGCTGCGGCCACAACGCAGAGTACTAACCACTATACGATCACGGCGAGCTACAAGGGAGCGTGACATTTTCGGGTGAGGAAAGCCGCCATGGAACCCAACGGCATAAAGGTTCTGCTGCTTTTCCCTGACCGTCTAGTACATGTCTAAAGTTGTTCTACTTTATGCAGTGTACAACAATAGTGAAGACAACAAAATGATCCAATGGCACATATACATGTATGTACTAACCTTAAGAAGTGTTAAACAAGTACAAATATGTTCATCGTTTTTATTCTTCAAAGAGAGCTTTTGCAGAAGGAGATGTGACTCATATTCAAGCCAATGCTGATCTGTATCAATTGCTATCTAACTTGATTTTGAGTAGTAGATTGTATTGTGTGCATAGAAATAGAATGAATAGACAACGAGTACCTATACAAGTCAATGACCTGTCTGGTAAATGCATTGCATTTTTCCTTGATCTCTTCTAATATCTAAAACCCAGCTAACTAACCTTCAAAAACTGCCCTTATAACTGCGATAGAGGTAAACATACTTTATCACCAAAGTATAAGTACTTTAGTAATGAGATATGAAGTGAAATGTAGATTGATGTAAACCATATGTTGCTTTTAAAGTGTTGCATTTGTTTTCATAAAACCTCCGTCTGAATCTTATTCATTTGAAATAAACCAGACGATGTTGAAGACCTCTTATTGTCCCGTCCTGCTAAAACACAAAGGCTATGCTATACCGACAGCATTTTGCTGCCTCCTTCTGACCAAATATTGTCATTACAAGGTATTGGGAAGACAAATCAACATTACATCTATCAGTGACCCATTAACTTCTGCTGCGAAAACAAACGAAAAACAACAACAAGCGGTTACTGTAAGATTAACACATGCAACTACCATAGCTGTTTTGTACAGAAGTCAAAAAACAGCCATGCAACATCAAATTCATGAAATTTTATTTAACACATTTCTAAAACTTTATTTATTCACAGTGACTGCATGACAACATGCGAACAATGTGTATAATTCTCAAATGATTCCTATTCAGAACAACCTTCAATCACATTGGCACATTATGGGCAAATAAAGAAATCCATTGTACATCCCTGCCCATGACATATAGTGGTGGGTGGGTGTGGTTAATACTGCGCCAATATAAACACCAATCACAGCATCAATTAAATTCCAATTCAATAATTGGTTGGTCTCCAGAACAGAGATTCAACACTTTGCCAAAAAGCAAGATCAGTGGAGAATCTCTGCTATTATCCGGCCTAGCAAGTCCAAATCAAACATACTTTACAAGGAGAAGAACTTTAACTAGCTATTTAATTTCAATGCAATTGTCATTATTTGATCTAATGGGCTTGTCTTGGTTCAGGCAACAGCAGAAGACTATTAGGCGCTGTGGCTTAGTTGGTTAAAGCGCCTGTCTAGTAAACCGGAGATCCTGAGTTCGAATCTCAGCAGAGCCTATTATCATAGCGTCCCTTTTTTTATCAGGCACTCTCCTCCAGAGGGCCTTATAACGCTAATGTCCTGTAAATACACCGATGAGCCAAAACATTATGACCAGTGGATCAAATAACATTGGTCATCTAACAAGGACACATGTCAAGGTCATCACAGGTTAGATTTTAAGCATTCAATCAGTTCCCGTGGTAAACGTGTTGGATGCAGGAGTAAAGATCTGAGCTTCTCTAAAACGGTGGTTTTAATGTTTTTTGTCTCGTTTGTGTGTGTATATACACCTGGTAAGAGGAGTGGTCAGAGTAACAGAAGAAAGACAGAAAGAAGATTTAGGAAGATCTACTGGACCATTTAAGATTTACATATGGCATGTTTTATATCAGTAATGAAAGGTAATACCTAAAGTTTGATGGTAAGTTTTGTTTGGTACCGATTGTACTGTAAGAATGTACATATAAAAAGCACCCTTTTGCCGTGACATTGTGTATCGCAATGCCGTGAACAGGATTCGAACCGGGGTTGCTGCGGCCACAACGCAGAGTACTAACCATTGTACGATCACGGCGAGCTACAAGGGAGCGTGACGTGTTCGGGTGAGGAAAGCCGCCATGGAACCCAACGGCATAAAGGTTCTGCTGCTTTTCCCTGACCGTCTAGTACATGTCTAAAGTTGTTCTACTTTATGCAGTGTACAACAATAGTGAAGACAACAAAGTGATCCAATGGCACATATACATGTATGTACTGACCTTAAGAAGTGTTAAACAAGTACAAATATGTTCATCGTTTTTATTCTTCAAAGAGAGCTTTTGCAGAAGGAGATGTGACTCATATTCAAGCCAATGCTGATCTGTATCAATTGCTATCTAACTTGATTTTGAGTAGTAGATTGTATTGTGTGCATAGAAATAGAATGAATAGACAACGAGCACCTATACAAGTCAATGACCTGTCTGGTAAATGCATTGCATTTTTCCTTGATCTCTTCTAATATCTAAAACCCAGCTAACTAACCTTCAAAAACTGCCCTTATAGCTGTGATAGAGGTAAACATACTTTATCACCAAAGTATAAGTACTTTAGTAATGAGATATGAAGTGAAATGTAGATTGATGTAAACCATATGTTGCTTTTAAAGTGTTGCATTTGTTTTCATAAAACCTCCGTCTGAATCTTATTCATTTGAAATAAACCAGTCGATGTTGAAGACCTCTTATTGTCCCGTCCTGCTAAAACACAAAGGCTATGCTATACCGACAGCATTTTGCTGCCTCCTTCTGACCAAATATTGTCATTACAAGGTATTGGGAAGACAAATCAACATTACATCTATCAGTGACCCATTAACTTCTGCTGCGAAAACAAACGAAAAACAACAACAAGCGGTTACTGTAAGATTAACACATGCAACTACCATAGCTGTTTTGTACAGAAGTCAAAAAACAGCCATGCAACATCAAATTCATGAAATTTTATTTAACACATTTCTAAAACTTTATTTATTCACAGTGACTGCATGACAACATGCGAACAATGTGTATAATTCTCAAATGATTCCTATTCAGAACAACCTTCAATCACATTGGCACATTATGGGCAAATAAAGAACTCCATTGTACATCCCTGCCCGTGACATATAGTGGTGGGTGGGTGTGGTTAATACTGCGCCAATATAAACACCAATCACAGCATCAATTAAATTACAATTCAATAATTGGTTGGTCTCCAGAACAGAGATTCAACACTTTGCCAAAAAGCAAGATCAGTGGAGAATCTCTGCTATTATCCGGCCTAGCAAGTCCAAATCAAACATACTTTACAAGGAGAAGAACTTTAACTAGCTATTTAATTTCAATGCAATTGTCATTATTTGATCTAATGGGCTTGTCTTGGTTCAGGCAACAGCAGAAGACTATTAGGCGCTGTGGCTTAGTTGGTTAAAGCGCCTGTCTAGTAAACCGGAGATCCTGAGTTCGAATCTCAGCAGAGCCTATTATCATAGCGTCCCTTTTTTTATCAGGCACTCTCCTCCAGAGGGCCTTATAACGCTAATGTCCTGTAAATACACCGATGAGCCAAAACATTATGACCAGTGGATCAAATAACATTGGTCATCTAACAAGGACACATGTCAAGGTCATCACAGGTTAGATTTTAAGCATTCAATTAGTTCCGTGGTAAACGTGTTGGATGCAGGAGTAAAGATCTGAGCTTCTCTAAAACGGTGGTTTTAATGTTTTTTGTCTCGTTTGTGTGTGTATATACACCTGGTAAGAGGAGGGTCAGAGTAACAGAAGAAAGACAGAAAGAAGATTTTTATGGGAAGATCTACTGGACCATTTAAGATTTACATATGGCATGTTTTATATCAGTAATGAAAGGTAATACCTAAAGTTTGATGGTAAGTTTTGTTTGGTACCGATTGTACTGTAAGAATGTACATATAAAAAGCACCCTTTTGCCGTGACATTGTGTATCGCAATGCCGTGAACAGGATTCGAACCGGGGTTGCTGCGGCCACAACGCAGAGTAGTACCAACCATTATACGATCACGGCGAGCAATTGATACAGATCAGCATTGGCTTGAATATGAGTCACATCTCCTTCTGCAAAAGCTCTCTTTGAAGCATAAAAACGATGAACACACAATTACCTCTATCGCAGTTATACTAGACGGTCAGGGAAAAGCAGCAGAACCTTTATGCCGTTGGTTTCCATGGCGGCTTTCCTCACCCGAACACGTCACGCTCCCTTGTAGCTCGCCGTGATCGTATAGTGGTTAGTACTCTGCGTTGTGGCCGCAGCAACCCCGGTTCGAATCCGGGTCACGGCATTGCGAAACACAATGTCACGGCAAAAGGGTGCTTTTTATATGTACATTCTTACAGTACAATCGGTACCAAACAAAACTTACCATCAAACTTTAGGTATTATCTTTCATTACTGATATAAAACATGCCATATGTAAATCTTAAATGGTCCAGTAGATCTTCTTAAATCTTCTTTCTGTCTTTCTTCTGTTACTCTGACCACTCCTCTTACCAGGTGTATATACACACACAAACGAGACAAAAAACATTAAACCACCGTTTTAGAGAAGCTCAGATCTTTACTCCTGCATCCAACACGTTTACCACGGGAACTGATTGAATGGTTAAAATCTAACCTGTGATGACCTTGACATGTGTCCTTGTTAGATGACCAATGTTATTTGATCCACTGGTCATAATGTTTTGGCTCATCGGTGTATTTACAGGACATTAGCGTTATAAGGCCCTCTGGAGGAGAGTGCCTGATAAAAAAAGGGACACTATGATAAAATACTCTGCTGAGATTCAAACTCAGGATCTCCTGCTTACTAGACAGGTGCTTTAACCAACTAAGCCACAGCTCCTAATAGTCTTCTGCTGTTGCCTGAACCAAGACAAGCCCATTAGATCAAATAATGACAATTGCATTGAAATTCAATAGCTAGTTAAAGTTCTTTTCCTTGTAAAGTATGTTTGATTTGGACTTGCTAGGCCGGATAATAGCAGAGATTCTCCACTGATCTTGCTTTTTGGCAAAGTGTTGAATCTCTGTTCTGGAGACCAACCAATTATTGAATTGTAATTTAATTGATGCTGTGATTGGTGTTTATATTGGCGCAGTATTAACCACACCCACCCACCACTATATGTCATGGGCAGGGATGTACAATGGATTTCTTTATTTGCCCATAATGTGCCAATGTGATTGAAGGTTGTTCTGAATAGGAATCATTTGAGAATTATACACAATGTTCGCATGTTGTCATGCAGTCACTGTGAATAAATAAAGTTTTAGAAATGTGTTAAATAAAATTTCATGAATTTGATGTTGCATGGCTGTTTTTTGACTTCTGTACAAAACAGCTATGGTAGTTGCATGTGTTAATCTTACAGTAACCGCTTGTTGTTGTTTTTCGTTTGTTTTCGCAGCAGAAGTTAATGGGTCACTGATAGATGTAATGTTGATTTGTCTTCCCAATACCTTGTAATGACAATATTTGGTCAGAAGGAGGCAGCAAAATGCTGTCGGTATAGCATAGCCTTTGTGTTTTAGCAGGACGGGACAATAAGAGGTCTTCAACATCGACTGGTTTATTTCAAATGAATAAGATTCAGATGGAGGTTTTATGAAAACAAATGCAACACTTTAAAAGCAACATATGGTTTACATCAATCTACATTTCACTTCATATCTCATTACTAAAGTACTTATACTTTGGTGATAAAGTATGTTTACCTCTATCACAGCTATAAGGGCAGTTTTTGAAGGTTAGTTAGCTGGATTTTAGATATTAGAAGAGATCAAGGAAAAATGCAATGCATTTACCAGACAGGTCATTGACTTGTATAGGTACTCGTTGTCTATTCATTCTATTTCTATGCACACAATACAATCTACTACTCAAAACCAAGTTAGATAGCAATTGATACAGATCAGCATTGGCTTGAATATGAGTCACATCTCCTTCTGCAAAAGCTCTCTTTGAAGAATAAAAACGATGAACATATTTGTTCTTGTTTAACACTTCTTAAGGTTAGTACATACATGTATATGTGCCATTGGATCATTTTGTTGTCTTCACTATTGTTGTACACTGCATAAAGTAGAACAGCTTTAGACATGTACTAGACGGTCAGGGAAAAGCAGCAGAACCTTTATGCCGTTGGGTTCCATGGCGGCTTTCCTCACCCGAAGACGTCACGCTCCCTTGTAGCTCGCCGTGATCGTATAGTGGTTAGTACTCTGCGTTGTGGCCGCAGCAACCCCGGTTTGTTCCGGGTCACGGCATTGCGAAACACAATGTCACGGCAAAAGGGTGCTTTTTATATGTACATTCTTACAGTACAATCGGTACCAAACAAAACTTACCATCAAACTTTAGGTATTATCTTTCATTACTGATATAAAACATGCCATATGTAAATCTTAAATGGACCAGTAGATCTTCTTAAATCTTCTTTCTGTCTTTCTTCTGTTACTCTGACCACTCCTCTTACCAGGTGTATATACACACACAAACGAGACAAAAAACATTAAAACCACCGTTTTAGAGAAGCTCAGATCTTTACACCTGCATCCAACACGTTTACCACGGGAACTGATTGAATGCTTAAAATCTAACCTGTGATGACCTTGACATGTGTCCTTGTTAGATGACCAATGTTATTTGATCCACTGGTCATAATGTTTTGGCTCATCGGTGTATTTACAGGACATTAGCGTTATAAGGCCCTCTGGAGGAGAGTGCCTGATAAAAAAAGGGACGCTATGATAAAAGGCTCTGCTGAGATTTGAACTCAGGATCTCCTGTTTACTAGACAGGCGCTTTAACCAACTAAGCCACAGCGCCTAACAAACTACTGCTGTTGCCTGAACCAAGACAAGCCCATTAGATCAAATAATGACAATTGCATTGAAATTCAATAGCTAGTTAAAGTTCTTCTCCTTGTAAAGTATGTTTGATTTGGACTTGCTAGGCCGGATAATAGCAGAGATTCTCCACTGATCTTGCTTTTTGGCAAAGTGTTGAATCTCTGTTCTGGAGACCAACCAATTATTAAATTGTAATTTAATTGATGCTGTGATTGATGTTCATATTGGCGCAGTATTAACCACACCCACCCACCACTATATGTCATGGGCAGGGATGTACAATGGATTTCTTTATTTGCCCATAATGTGCCAATGTGATTGAAGGTTGTTCTGAATAGGAATCATTTGAGAATTATACACATTGTTCGCATGTTGTCATGCAGTCACTGTGAATAAATAAAGTTTTAGAAATGTGTTAAATAAAATTTCATGAATTTGATGTTGCATGGCTGTTTTTTGGCTTCTGTACAAAACAGCTATGGTAGTTGCATGTGTTAATCTTACAGTAACCGCTTGTTGTTGTTTTTCGTTTGTTTTCGCAGCAGAAGTTAATGGGTCACTGATAGATGTAATGTTGATTTGTCTTCCCAATACCTTGTAATGACAATATTTGGTCAGAAGGAGGCAGCAAAATGCTGTCGGTATAGCATAGCCTTTGTGTTTTAGCAGGACGGGGCAATAAGAGGTCTTCAACATCGACTGGTTTATTTCAAATGAATAAGATTCAGATGGAGGTTTTATGAAAACAAATGCAACACTTTAAAAGCAACATATGGTTTACATCAATCTACATTTCACTTCATATCTCATTACTAAAGTACTTATACTTTGGTGATAAATATGTTTACCTCTATCGCAGTTATAAGGGCAGTTTTTGAAGGTTAGTTAGCTGGGTTTTAGATATTAGAAGAGATCAAGGAAAAATGCAATGCATTTACCAGACAGGTCATTGACTTGTATAGGTACTCGTTGTCTATTCATTCTATTTCTATGCACACAATACAATCTACTACTCAAAACCAAGTTAGATAGCAATTGATACAGATCAGCATTGGCTTGAATATGAGTCACATCTCCTTCTGCAAAAGCTCTCTTTGAGGAATAAAAACGATTAACATATTTGTACTTGTTTAACACTTCTTAAGGTTAGTACATACATGTATATGTGCCATTGGATCATTTTGTTGTCTTCACTATTGTTGTACACTGCATAAAGTAGAACAGCTTTAGACATGTACTAGAGGGTCAGGGAAAAGCAGCAGAACCTTTATGCCGTTGGGTTCCATGGCGGCTTTCCTCACCCGAACACGTCACGCTCCCTTGTAGCTCGCCGTGATCGTATAGTGGTTAGTACTCTGCGTTGTGGCCGCAGCAACCCCGGTTCGAATCCGGGTCACGGCATTGCGATACACAATGTCACGGCAAAAGGGTGCTTTTTATATGTACATTCTTACAGTACAATCGGTACCAAACAAAACTTACCATCAAACTTTAGGTATTATCTTTCATTACTGATATAAAACATGCCATATGTAAATCTTAAATGGTCCAGTAGATCTTCTTAAATCTTCTTTCTGTCTTTCTTCTGTTACTCTGACCACTCCTCTTACCAGGTGTATATACACACACAAACGAGACAAAAAACATTAAAACCACCGTTTTAGAGAAGCTCAGATCTTTACTCCTGCATCCAACACGTTTACCACGGGAACTGATTGAATGCTTAAAATCTAACCTGTGATGACCTTGACATGTGTCCTTGTTAGATGACCAATGTTATTTGATCCACTGGTCATAATGTTTTGGCTCATCGGTGTATTTACAGGACATTAGCGTTATAAGGCCCTCTGGAGGAGAGTGCCTGATAAAAAAAGGGACGCTATGATAAAAGGCTCTGCTGAGATTTGAACTCAGGATCTCCTGTTTACTAGACAGGCGCTTTAACCAACTAAGCCACAGCGCCTGACAGTCTACTGCTGTTGCCTGAACCAAGACAAGCCCATTAGATCAAATAATGACAATTGCATTGAAATTCAATAGCTAGTTAAAGTTCTTCTCCTTGTAAAGTATGTTTGATTTGGACTTGCTAGGCCGGATAATAGCAGAGATTCTCCACTGATCTTGCTTTTTGGCAAAGTGTTGAATCTCTGTTCTGGAGACCAACCAATTATTGAATTGTAATTTAATTGATGCTGTGATTGGTGTTTATATTGGCGCAGTATTAACCACACCCACCCACCACTATATGTCATGGGCAGGGATGTACAATGGATTTCTTTATTTGCCCATAATGTGCCAATGTGATTGAAGGTTGTTCTGAATAGGAATCATTTGAGAATTATACACATTGTTCGCATGTTGTCATGCAGTCACTGTGAATAAATAAAGTTTTAGAAATGTGTTAAATAAAATTTCATGAATTTGATGTTGCATGGCTGTTTTTTTACTTCTGTACAAAACAGCTATGGTAGTTGCATGTGTTAATCTTACAGTAACCGCTTGTTGTTGTTTTTCGTTTGTTTTCGCAGCAGAAGTTAATGGGTCACTGATAGATGTAATGTTGATTTGTCTTCCCAATACCTTGTAATGACAATATTTGGTCAGAAGGAGGCAGCAAAATGCTGTCGGTATAGCATAGCCCTTGTGTTTTAGCAGGACGGGACAATAAGAGGTCTTCAACATCGACTGGTTTATTTCAAATGAATAAGATTCAGACGGAGGTTTTATGAAAACAAATGCAACACTTTAAAAGCAACATATGGTTTACATCAATCTACATTTCACATCATATCTCATTACTAAAGTACTTATACTTTGGTGATAAAGTATGTTTACCTCTATCGCAGTTATAAGGGCAGTTTTTGAAGGTTAGTTAGCTGGGTTTTAGATATTAGAAGAGATCAAGGAAAAATGCAATGCATTTACCAGACAGGTCATTGACTTGTATAGGTACTCGTTGTCTATTCATTCTATTTCTATGCACACAATACA